GTGCGTGCGTGCGTGCGTGCGTGCGTGCGTGCGTGCGTGCGTGCGTGCGTGCGTGCGTGCGTGCATAAAGCGTGCACCCGTGTATATGCGTGCGTGTGTGTGTGTGGATATGTGTACATGCGTACATGTGTGGATATGCGTGTATACGTGCGTGAATGCATGCGTGTATATGGCTGCGCGTGTGTGCTGCGTGAGTGGATGCGTGCCGTTCTTGTATGTAGGTGCGTGCGTGCGTAACCATGCGTGCGAGCGTGCGTCTGACAAGCGTCTCCCGTCTGCCTCAGGTACGACTCGCTGCAGACGCGCTCCGGCTCCGGCGTCAGGAAGCTGTCGTCGGCGACGGACGAACTCGGCAAGCTACAGCGCGAGCGAGACTCCTTCCTCGCCTGGCAGGGCCAGCGCGAGTCCGAGCTCGCCGAGCTAGAGGGAGCCACGTGCGACCTCGCCGCGCTGCGCAGGCACGTGGGCGACGCGCGCACGCTCAGCGCTGACGTGATGTCACACAAAGCTGACCTGCGATTCGTCGCTCTGTCGGCCGACAAGTTCCAAGCGGAGGCGCAGGTATGGAGCATTGTCGATTGGCCTTTGCATTGTTGCGTGACCATTGCATTGTTGCGTGACCTTTACATTGTTGCATTACATTGTCCTACAGTTTGGTTCAAATCGCAATTGCAATTTGCTTAGTTAACTTTCTGCTCTAATTCATGTTTCTAGTTGAAGAAATAGCAACCGTTCATTCTGTTACAACTTAATTTTGTAGAATTGTGTTACAATTTTTATTTTTTATTTTTTTTCCTAATTGTAATGGAATTGCAGTTGGGGAAATTTTTTTAAATTTCTATGCGATTACAATTACTATTAACGATTACATTACTTGCTATTAATTGATCATTTTTATATCAATGAGCTACACTCCACCTTCTTAACACTGCTTCCACACGTTTCCGCCCACAGGCCTACCTGTCGCAACTCAACGATAACCGAAAGGCACACGAGATGGAGCCACTGGTCGAGGCAGAAGGTCTCGTCCGGTGCAGCGTGGACGAGGCGAGCGAGCGTTACGATGCGTTGCTGGACAAGTGCCACACGCTGAGTGACCAGCTGTCTACGGTGGATGACAAGAGCAAGCAGTATGGGGAGGCGGTGGAGAAGGCTCGCACGTGGCTGGATGGCGTAAGCACTCACGATCGATCGCTCACCGTCGATAGACATTGTAGCGACTGCACCAGTTATACTTATTCTTCAGCTTCGAAGCTTTTATTAAATCAACATCAAAATAGTATCATGTATGTGTGCGTGCCTATGTGCGTGCGTGTGTGCGTGCGTGTGCGTATGTGTGAGTGCGTCCGTGCATTACGATCCCTTTTTGAGTCGGCTACAGCAGTATAAGTTTGTTTGTTACACGTATGTCATGTAACGTCATGTACGTGTGATGTCGGTATGTAGTATGAGGTATATAGTACGGGTGTATGTTCGGCATCGACCCCTGTCTCTACCTTGGCTCTCTCTTATTGACCCAGGGTGCGAAATTAACGCGAGTCCGGAGTCAAATACTCCCTGATTTACTGTTGGACTCCCTGATTTGACATAAGCAGGAGTCCGTGTGACTCCCTGAAAATGCTGTTATACAAATTAGTAGTAGTTCGTTCCAGAGCATGGCCTCGCGGAATAACTGTATTTTTCAGCAACTGTCCAAAGAAAATTTGGCAGACGTGCATGGCAATAATCTTCAAAATAAGCACGTATGCGTTATTGTTGTTATGCTTTAGTTTTGAACTTCAGACTGCGGACTCCCTTATTTTGCTACGGACTCGCTCTTTTTGAGGGCAGGGAGTCCTCCCTTGTTCAAAAGTTCATTTCTACTCCTGTTGACCCCCTGTCTCTCTCTCTCTCTCTCTAACAGGCGGAGAAGAGTGCGCATGAGCAGCTGACCGCACCGGCAGACGCCGACCCGCGCGCCGTACAAGATCACCTCGCTCGTCTCAAGGTCGTCAACGCCGACGTGATGGCGCAGCGGCGTCTGGTAGAGGGCGCCGGCGCGGCGCACGCGGCGTTGGCGGCAGCGCTGGAGCACGGCAGCGAGGAGGAGCAGGGGAAGCTGGCCGCTGCCGTGGAGGAGGTCGAGCGGCGATACGAGGAGGTGAGAGCAGACGCGTGTATGTCGCTGTGTCTGTCTCTGTTTCTCTGTCTATCTGTCTATCTCTTCCTCAGTCTATCTCTCTCTCTCACTTTCTCACTCACTTATACACGCTCCCTCTTATTGTTTTTCTGGATCTCTGTCTCTCTCTCTCTCTCTATGTCTCTCTGTTTGTTGTCTCTCTCTTTCTCTATGTCTCTTTGTTTGTTGTCTCTCTCTCTCTCTCTGTCTCTCTCTCTCTCTGTCTCTCTCTCTCTCTCTGTCTCTCTCTCTCTCTGTCTCTCTCTCTCTCTGTCTCTCTCTCTCTCTGTCTCTCTCTCTCTCTCTTTCTCTCTCTCCCGCCATCTCTCTCTCTTTCTCT